ACAAGCTATACATTGGTATGGTGTAGTTAAACTGTACCATAATGGATTAACTCACACCCACAAAGTCCCCCTGAGTACTCCAGGAGAGTAGAGAAGCGCTGTGTAAGAATCAGTCCGTAACGTGTACACCATGCAGAGCAGGCTCGTGGTCACACCAACAGCAAGTCCTCTGTCATCAGTTTGACTCGCGGTGTTTGAAGGAGCAGCTCCGTTCTGTGGAGGTCTGCCAGGGAGCAGTGTGACTCCACTGCATGGAGTGGGCCGTGCATGGTAACATCTTGGACAGCAGCCTGCTTCCCTCTGCCAGAACACCTACGATCAGCCAGTGTTTGGTCCTTTATCTGTGGGAGGAACTGAAACTTCGAGTGGCCGAGCAAGAAAAACCCCTCCTGAGAATTTCTTAAACGCGGTGACCACCTAAAAGAAATGTCTTAGAGTTGTACCTGCCAACAAGGATTAAACACAAATTAGAAGCTGTTCATTTCTTTGTAAGTGAGCAAACATGCAAATTTAGCAGGGGGTCAAAAAGTCCTGTCCCTGCACTGTAAGCTGACCTTAAACGGACCCAACCAGGAGGTGCATGCTTAGTTTGAGCCAAACAGTTTCCCAGTGCTTGTAGTTTGTAGCGACACACTGGGGTTCGCTCTGATAGTTCTTGGAGTGTGAAAAGAAACAAAAGCATGTGACGTCTAACCAGAGTGACCAAACTATGGTGTGAGGCAGGAAAGTCTCTGCAGACTAAAGCATTACTTTGTACTTACAGAGAGACCGAAACTGAATGTGAAACCGTCTGTGATGAAGCCTGCAGTGCTGGTTAAGCCTGGCCAGAGGAGGCGGGGAGCACAACAGTCTGCTGTAGTTGCTGTTAAACCTCTAAACAGCCCCTCTGCACCGAAAGAGGAGCCACGAACCAGTGACAGACATGTAAGGGTGCATGTGTCCAGTGTGATGCACTTCATGTTTAATTTCTATTGTGATAATCCTGTACAGACGAATGCAGATGAAGGAGGAGGGACTAATTACTCGTGTGCTGTGAATTTGTTTTGCCTCGTCAGACTCTCCCATCCACCGGCGTGGATGCTGCATGGAGTCACTTCACCCAGCTGGAGTCTGCCTCCAGCTCTAGCCCAACAGGAGAGGAGCTTCAGACCGTCCCTGTCTTCACACAGAGTCTAGGCCCAGAGAGCAGTCTGCCCATCAGTGGTGCGACCACCAGAGAGTCCTGCACGGTGCCCCAAAGGTAAACGAGAGTCCAGACAGAAAAACAGATCAGCGTTAGTGTGCTGCTGCCCCCAGCTCAGTGCTCATTGGTTCCATTCAGTCTGGCTTTGGGGAAAGAACAATAAAAGTAGCAAGTGACAGCAGAAAATAAGTATTTATGTTCGGTATGCACTTCATTACAAACACAGTCATTACTGTGGTAGAGACCGAACACAGTGCTGGAAACATTCCTCAGAGATGTTGGTCCACACTGATGTGGTGCTTTGCATTGTTGACTGCACATCAAATGTGCTATGTTGGATTGGGATCTAGTAACTATGGACGCCGTTTGACTACAGTACACTTACTATCAGGTTTGGGAAACCAGTCTGAGCTTGTTTGAGCTTTATGGTTGCTGCTGGGACCACCGTCACCTTCACCCTCCACACCTGCTCCAGCTCTTCTCTGAGCCCTTGGTACTTCTCCAGCTTCTCATGTTGCTGTCATTCGCTGCATCCATCCCTACGGCCGTCTTCCTCTGTTTGTCTACCACCACCATGTCCGTCTGTATCTGGAAGTCCCACAGGATCTTAGCTCGGTCATTCTCCGCCCTTGGGGGCGTCTCCCATGTTGACCTCAGGACTTCCAGCTAGGGCTGTTCGATGTAACGATATATATCTGATGACGATATAAAAACATCGTTTCATTTACGCTATCGTTTGTTTGGTGCTGTTGCAAAATAAACTGTTTCCAGCTGTTTTCATGTTCTGATGGTCACTGTAGCGGCTTTATTAAAGGTCTCTCTGTCTTAGATTTAATACAACCACACTACGGACGACAAGTGCCTGTTTTTATGTGTTGTTGTTAGCAACAACGACAGTAACAGCATCGTGTCTCCGCTTGTTTATGTTCCACATAAACCTTTCACAATAAAGCTCAAGATCCTGTTGAGACTTTTCAAAATAAACTGAATCACATAAAAGATGCAGAGAGTTTACGGATGAGAAGTAAAAAAGACACCAGGTGCTAAAAATAAAGCTCAGACTCAAACTTTGAAAGAAAACGGCGCCGTTACAACTTGTGTCTAAACATGTGTCGTTTCATGCATCGTTAAAACACTCGACTCAGCTACACGACGCACAGCTGGAAACACTTCACGCAGGTCGAGCTGCCCGAGATTCACAGCCTTTACAGAAAATGTTACATGTTTGTGATTTATATCGTTACCGGACGATGGATGTCTGCTATCGGGATATGAGACTTTGGTCATATCGCACAGCCCTACTTCCAGCCCACACTCGGCACAGATGTTCCTGTACACTATGCCGGCCACTTGGTTATGGCGTTCCATGTATGCCCTGCCTGCTAGCGTCTTGCACCCTGCTGTTATGTGCTGGATTGTCTCAGGGGCATCTTTCCACAGCCTGGGGTCTTGCCTGGTGTGGTAGACCTCAGCCTCCATGGATCTGTGCTCAGAGCTTGTTCCTGTGCTGCCTTTCAGCCACTTCCTCTGTCTGCCGGTGGTACATAGCGTGCAGAGTCCTGTCCTTCCATCACTGTTCTTCTCCTCGCTCCTCTTCTTTCTTGGGTTTCTGCTCAGTGAGGTATTCACTAAGCGTGCGGTGTGGTAGCCGTCTCCTGATGTACTCATGGATGTTTGTCTCATCCTGGGTAAAAATGATCCTATTTTTCAGTGCTCTTGTACTCAGTGCACCTTCAGTTGTAGTAGGAGCTTGGTACCTAATCTTGGGTTTTTGTCCAGTTGCTGCAAGCTCCATGGCAACCCCGTGAGCCACGGGTGTCAGCTGTACGTGTCTGACCTGTTGTTTTTGTAGTGGTTCCCTGAGATTTATTTGTGTCTCTGCTTTTGGTGAAGAGGTTCCTCTCTGAGAGCATGTCAGTTTTTCTCTGTTTGCGTGAAATGAAGTAACAAGGCTTTCTGTCGTTCAGCCCAGTACAGAAGACACCCTCTCAGCCCAGATCAAGGAGGCTCAGCACTGCAGCATCCCGGGCTGCCTCCACCTCGAGCGCCGCTGCCTCCACCTCTGCCATGGATGACTTCGAGGAGCTGATCAATGAGTTTACTGACGACCACCTTGATGATGATGTGGACCCCAGTATCGGAGAGGACGACCTGCTGCAAGAGCTTTCTGAAATGATTGACAGCTGAGAGGACGCAATCAGCAGTCGGCCCTGTGTCTCTCTGGGCGGTGGGACTTAGCTCCATGGTAGATGTTGGGCTATTTAGATGTATTTCGTTCTTAAAATAACTTTTTAACCTATGAGTCCATATGTTGCTCTTTACATTTTCATCATCTTCTCTCAAAGACAGTCTTCTATAATTTGCTCTTCAGGTGAATATTTGATGATGGAGGAATTACTCTGCAGGGCCTCAGTCCTCTTCATCATGTGTGTTTATGATCCCACTCCAACAAAAGCTGTTGTGTTAGAGATGTGCTTACCACGATCCCAGGTTTGTGTGGATGCTGTTCATTTAGAGAGAAGTTGTATCTGTATACTGTGTATGCAACAGAACTATGTGTTTGTTGTTCTGTGAGTGGACGAGCCTGTTCACACATCGTGACAGTGATGGAATAGATCCGTTTGATTTCAGCGAGGACTGTCACAGAACCTACGATGATCACCGTTTAAAGTAATTTATTGGAAAGGCGTGTGTGCAGTCATTCACATGTGATCGAGTCTATCCCGTGACTGTACTCACTTTATATGTTTTATTAATGTGTGTTTCTTTCATCACTTACGTTTAGTAATGGACGTCCTTTTAACCTAGAGCAGGTGGTGTCAGTGTGTAAGAACTCTTTGTTATTTATGAACAGCTCAGGGACTGTTTCACATGTTTCTATGTTCTTTATACAATGAAAAAAAGGGGGAGGGGCTTTGATTTTAGCAGTACTGCCTAGAGATGATTTTTTTTGTTTGGTCTGTTAGTAGATCAGCTTACTTTGTCTCTGTCCTGACCCTCACACAGGCTGACTATTCAGAGTGACTTGTACATTTATTGTGTAAATAAAAATTATTTTAAATTAATTTGAATTCTTGTTTATTATTTACTTTTCATTTACACACACACACACACACACACACACACACACACACACACGTGTGTGTATGTATACATACGTACATACGAGTCTGACTTTGACACTTAAAAAAGGCGTCAAAGTCAGACTCTGGTTGATCATTGGCCAGCTTCAGAAGGCAGACCAGAAATTTTAATAAAGATTTTACAAACAACCTACAGAATAAATATGATGGCATTGATAAATTCATATGGATACCAGCATGTTATGGTGTTATTGGCAATGAGGTGGCAGATAGAATTGTAAAGCAGGCTGTTAAGAGAGATCAAGAGGTTTTAAATATCAGTGCTAGCAAAGCTAAAATGAAGAGCATTGTAAAAGAGAAAATGATAGCAAAAGTGGTGGAAGGAGGAGAGGACAGGGAGATGGTTTTATTCTATTCAAAGAGAAACAGGGAGGACCAGGAGAGAGGAGACAATCATATCTCAATTCAGATTTGTAGAAAAAAAGATTAAGCTAGATAGAAAGGATTTATTGCAAAGGAACTCCAGATGTGAAAGTTTTATGGCTTTATTTCAGTTCCTAAGACTAATTTGTATGCAGAGACATGACGATATAGTAGTATTTTTTTGATCATTCATTTTTGATTATTTGGTATGAGCGAATTCTGGTCCACCCTCCAAGCCAGTTGGTGGCGGTAGTGCACCGCATTGTTGTTTGCCAACCGCCAAAAACACGTCGAAGAAGAAGAAGGCGAAGCGGAAGTGACGCCACCAGGCAGCAGGTGGCGTCACACAGCTCGCAGAAGCCGGTGTATCTTAGCTTCCGTCGGAGAGGATGTAAACAGAAGGACACCGAGTCCTGAGAGAAAGCGGTTGAAAACATGACCAAGCTGGAGCTCCTCAACGTGTTTCTGAACGACAGGCTCACGGCGGCGGCCGAAGACATTTTTCGCGCCGTAAAAGACACGGTGGTGGAGTACCAGAGTGAAATCCTGCGCTCCAAGGAGGAGAACGAGCGACTCAAACGGCTCCTGAATGTGGCCGTCCAGCGGCTACTGCTGCAGTCAGGTGAAGAGCATCGGCTCACGGCGCTCACTGGTAAAAACCAGCGCAAGTGTCCCAGCGGTAGCTCCCACATAGAGCTATGTGGGAGCTACCGCTGCTACCCACAGGTGTGCTAGCACAGACACACGAAGTCAGTTTGCTCTTTGGGGTTTGGAAACAACACTGTTGGTAGTTTAACCTGTAAAAATCAGCTAAACCCAGGCTGATGACTACAAACATGACGTCAGAGAGTTTCCTGAGGAGCCAGTTTCAAACAGCCAGACACGTGATCGCTAACCGTCGCTGTTTTCGCTAGTCAGTACCAGACGTACTAGTCGTTTAACCTGGTTGTTAAGATTTTAACTGATGCCCAGTGCCGGTGTCGTAGGGAGGGTAGGTATCCCCGACAGAACTGGTTTCCCCTGCGTCGGGAGCGCGCACTGGGTAGGGAGAGCGGGTCCAGTTGACTCCGCCTCCTTTCTAACCACCTTGACGTGGAAACAGTGACGTTTGACTTTAGTGAAAGATGAGTGTCGGTACAGTAGCGACCAGTGTGTGGACGGGATTATTTCAACAAACCGAGGACGTTGTGTGTAACGAGACCATAGTCACGTCTGTGTGAACTCGACTCACGTCAATTAATAATACTGCGTTCACAATTTTTACTCTGGTTGTTGCAGATCGCAAAAGGTTTGTGTGCTGGAAACCAAAACGTTCAGTTTGTCCCTGTGAAACACGTTTCTGTAGATAGACCTCCAGACACCAGGGAGACACACTCTAACTGCACAATCTGTGTGTGTCCAGTCAACATGTGTAGGGTGTATCTGTTAGACACCCTTACACTGACCCCAACTGTATATCAGTCGAAAGAAATTTCTGTTTATAGCAGCATCCATCGCCTCAGAGTGTAAGAGTGTGTGTCTTTGCACTACGCTATATTATTCATCAGCATTAATCCCAGTACTGTGCTTTGCTGTGATAAATGACTTGAGGCTGTGAAACACTCAGGGTCACACATCCATTAGTTTATTAGAGCCAGCTCGGCTTGGATAGCTTCCCCCCTTTAAAACAAGACAGTGTTTATATTTACTTATTAAAGTTCAATAAGGGCAGATCACTTGGAAGAACTGAACATGATTCACTGAGATAGAGAAATGAATGATTAGACTCTGATCACGATCATGGCAGATAGGATGTAGGACAGGATGCAGTGGTAGTGAAGATGAAGAATGAGGCTGACGAGGAGGGTTGTCTGAATGGCAGAGAGCACAGATTTAAAGCATGCAAAGCGGAGGCTGATTGGCTCAAAGAATGCGGGCGAGAAGATGATTGGACTAGAGCAAGAGTACCGAGCGTGGGTAGTGATGCAAAGAACAGGAGAAGCAGAGCGAAGCAGGTAGATGAGTGTTTCCAGGTGCTCCTCAGTGATGCCGAAGGTGACACATTTGGTGTGATGATCTGAAACGTGACGCGTGTTTAAAGAAAATGAGGAAGGAGGCAAATACAGCATTAAAGTGCTTTTACTTACAGTCAGTGTTCAACGTGTTTCCAGCTTCAGCCATCTTCACATGTGCAGATTTGTGCGTCCACTACAGCACCACTGTGAATCGTAGTGTTCACTGACCGTGCATAAATCCACCCAGCATGACTGTGATGTCTGTCACCTTTCAGAACCCCACTCTCAGGCCCAGGAAGACGGTCAGCTCTGTGCGTCTGAGTGTGGAAGGAGTGCAGGGTCACACGTCAAAGATGAACAAAGAAACGCTCAAAGTCACTGCTCGCACCAGCTAAGCAACTCTGAGGAAGGAAACTGCAGGAGCGTTGAGCCGCTGAGGTTAAATGCTCCACCTGCCCAAACCGCCTCGCTGCCTCCGCTTACATCCCCAGAGGTGAAGACGGAGACGGACGGGGAGGACAGCAGGAAGCAGCAGTGCTGTAACAGCCTGCCAGCGGCCGCTAACGCAGCTCAGAGTGATTCTCGTGCCACCGCTGCAAAGACACACAGGACTGTGAGAAATGAGCAGCAGGTGAAGGGGCTGCTGCGCTCAAACGGAAAGCAAAGTGCTCACATACTGCAGATTAAAAATGTAAAGTCTCTGAAGGCGTCGTCATCGCGGCCCCATCATCCGAGCCAGAGCATCCAGAGGTGGCACAGCTGCAATGAGTGCGGGAAGGGCTTCAACTTTGCCTGCCAGCTGGAGGTCCACATGCGCTGGCACACCAAAGAGAAGCCATACAGCTGTGCGGTGTGCCGGAAGAGCTTCACCACCGTGAGCATGTTGAAGAGGCACCACCGCATCCACACCGGAGAGAAGCCTTTCCGCTGCCACGTCTGCGGGAAATGCTTCAACCAGTCAGCTCATCTTAACACCCACTTCAGGCTTCACACCAGAGAGAGGGCCGGCTGGAGCCGAGCGCCACACTGCAAGTTGTCCCAGTAGGAACCCGCTTCATGTGTAAACACCAAGAACTGTTTCTTCTAGTGGTGTACAGTGGTGGTGTGTGCTTGTGTCTTGTTGTGCAATAAACATGACAACTGCAGATGCGGTGACGTGTGCTGGTGTTAATGAGTGTAGTTGTAGCTACGCAGACAGGCGAGGCTGGACATTAAAGATGGGAGAGTAAACCATGTCTCCTTTGTCTTCTCTTTCAATGCTGCACTTTTGTATCTTTGTATTATTGTGAGAATTAGCCGTGCTGTTTCTAAGGCCACAGACCGTTCCTGAACATGGTTCATAATGCTTTGTTTCCTTCTCTGCACTGTCTGTGGAAGGCTCAGTGTGGCAATCTGAGAACATGACATCCTACTCAGTCCACGAGGGCCGGTGTCCCTGCAGGCTTTGTGTCCTCCAACCAACACAGCTGATTTAAATGGCTACAGTAGCTCCTCAACGGCTGTGTCCCAATTCAGGGTCTGCACGCTTGAAGTACGCGCACTACGTACGGTGCGTACTAGGAAGTACGAGAAGTGCGGAAGTGAGAGGCTTGTGAAATGGGACGGTCTAGCCTCCGTCGCGCTGTTCAGGTTGCCTAGCAACCTTAATACTAACCGTGAGAAATGTTATATTCAGCTTTGTTTGACAGAAATGAAGGAGAAAAATGTTTTGTTGTTCATTCATTTTTATCATGACATCACTTTGATTAGTTGAGTATGGTGCAGTGGACACATGTGTGACTGCTGTGATTAAAGCATCTTTCTTTCAGCTTAACGAGTGAACCGTCAGCTCGTTCAAACACACGTTAAAGTGCGTTTGGCTCGACACCACCGAACAGAGGCAGCAATATAACACAGCTCACATTAACAGTGCAGTGAATCCTGCTTGTGCCGTGATGTTCAGGACTGCAAACCGAGCAGCATCACTGACTTTCAGCTTGTTGTGTTTGTGGATATATGACTGACTTTAATTATCCATGAAATCATCACAGTCTCTGTCAGATTAAGGTCGACTATTGAACGGCGTATATTTTAAAGGCTTTAAAACCAAGTTAGTACAAACGTCACTAATGTCACATGACTTTGCTGACATGTGACCAACAGTAATGTTTAATGTTCTTCATTATTAAACATTCGCACATAAATAAGTGACGTTGTTAAATTATAATATTATTTTATGCCATGTTATGCCCCTAACTAAAGATTGTGAAGTATTATGTAGTTTTAGTTTGCATTATTCTCCTGAATTAGAAGAAGCTGATAACTATTGCATTAATTAAACTGATTTGCATTACATTAGACTGCTGATTTATTGTGGATGAATGATATTGTTTTATGATGTTATAAGAAATACTGTTTGCAGAGAGTCATCGCCTTATTTGTCTGATTAGAAGAGAACAGAATATGCTGGAGTTTTCTGCCCCATCTCAGCAGGAGCAGATAAACTGGGAGCCAAGGTCGTAGCTTAGGCGCCGTGTGAGAGAAAGCATGTGAATGTTTAGGCTTTTATGATAAGGTGGGGGCACCAGAGAGAGTTTGATCAATGCTCCACCATTTTGAGATCTGATGCTGTCTGCGTACGGTGTCCATCTCCCACGCGTGTGACTATTAAAATCATGGTTTGACTCAACCCGGCCGGACCAGTGTTGTTACCGGTATTGTGGTTTTTCCTCTTGTCTCCATCCCCAATTTTTGAACTCGTAACAATGTCATATTCAGTACTTCTTTCTGACAGTTCACTCTTCGGCCGCTCCCTTCTGCCGTATTTTGCCGCAAAATTATCCACACCCACCGCCGCACTATGAATTGTGGGATATATGGGACCACGAAGCGTGCACCGGACCACGCTTGATATTTGGGGAAACCGAGGCGTATTTGAAGTACACTTCAAATTGGGACAGCCGTCGTCGCGTGGCGGTGACGTAATCGCACTTAAAATGCGTGCTTCAAGCGTGCAGTCTCTGAATTGGGACACAGCCAACATGTCCTGCAGTTCCCCAGAGGCCTGGTAACGAACTAATCATGTGATTCAGGTGTGTTGACCCAAGGTGAGCTCTAAAACCTGCAGGACACCGGCCCTCGTGGACTGAGAGTGCCCACCCCTGTCCTACTGGAACACGCACACCTCACCACCAGTCCAATCATTACTTTCAACACTGTCATTAAAATGACATCCAGTTTAAATTCTTTGTTTCTCCAGTTTGGAAACGTCTCTGATTTCATTTGAAGTTGTAAATATTAAATACAGCCTGTGGATCGTCAGGATCCAGGGCCTGGGCTGGCTCTCTGATTAAATACTCCTAAGCTCAGATCTCATGAGCATGGCCCACCATGGGATGTTCAGTTCAGATGGAGGTGAAGTGGGAGTGGTGCCTCTCCCAGCTCTAAGTGCTCAGAATCGTCCACCCTGCTGATCTCTGACAGAAACCGAGCGGAGCAGCCTGGGAGGCTGGCCTCCATCAGCCAGGTTTGTTACAGCAGCTCCCTTCATGACCTGTGACATGAAAGCGTATGAAGGCTGGTGTGCGTAGTGGAGCCCCGCCCTCTGATGTAACTGTGAAGCTGGCTTCAACAAATCCGTTTTAAAAACACGTTCATCTTCTGTCAGTGCAGAACGAGACGTCAGCAGGCTGGGTGGCTGTGGCCAATATTTTTACATTGGTTCATGTTGACAGGAGCAATAAGAGTCACTTTTGTTAGGTTTTGTATTGTTGATTGTCATTCATGCTTAGAAATATTTACTCATATGTGCTTAGAAGTGTATAATCATTTGTAGATTGAAAGAATGTCTCATCCTAGGAGGTCTGTAACAACTCTGTGTAGCATGAAGAGGAGAGTGCGTTCACTCCCTCTACAGAGTGTTCTGGCATAGATCACACCTCCTAGGAGAGGTCGTATCTTCTCTTGCTGATATATGCTTTAGCAAACACACGTACATCTGTTTAAGTATAAGAGCCTTTTGTTCAGATGGACCGCTAGACTCCTGGCACCAGCTTTGGGGAGTCTTCACAGGGTCACATCTGGACCTCACACACACACACACACACACACACGGTACTCTTTGTGTGTATGTAGACGTCATATGTTAATGAACCTATGCATATTCACGTAACCTCAATAAAAGAGCAGTGTTACGGGGGAACGGACGAGAGCAACTGGGGTCAAGCGAAGGAACGGCGTCTGTCCGGTCTCTCCCGTGCACGAGAAACATGAAGAACTTTGCCTACTCGTGTCTTGCTTGCTGTGTAATTATATTGTCCTCAACGTTCCAGCGAATAGGTTCAAGCTACAAACCTATCAACTTTTGTTCTGCCACAATGAGTTTATGATGAGCCGAGGACGTACTGTCCACTCTCCAATGCTCAGCTCTGTAAGCACTTTATGAATGAGAACAGTGTGGAGGAGAGCCTGTCCACCAGACTGACAAGCTGTCACAAACTGGTTTCTCTGGTCTGTCAGCTGATGTGTGGCTCATTGTCCTTACTGTCCAGTTTTATTAGCTTTTTGTTTTCTTTTGTTACCTGTAGTTGTAAAAACCTGACATTTCTGCAGTGCAGAGTGAAAAACAGAGGCTTCAAAGTCCAAAGTTTGAGCTTGTTTGTGGTTCAGAATCATAAACGGCTTCAAGCTCACTCAGACACTGAGCCATGGCTCTGTGCTACATGCACACATGTCTGCATCTCTGCCATTCAGACACACTTTATATGCACTTCATGTGATGTCACTGTCAATACTGAACTGCACATCGAGTCTTTTTAAAGGAGGCAGTTTGTGTTGCTGTGATGGACAAGTTTGAAAGTGTTTGTCCTCCACAGTGGAAAATGACTTTACCCAGCTCCCCGTCTCTCTGTGGACCTGGACCGCTACACTCCCCGTCTTCAGAACGTCTGCCCCCCTTTCTTCTTTCACATAATGGTATGATCCCAGTCTGTCTTTGCATGTGATTGGCTGCCTGGTGTGCCCATCGAAACAAAGTCCCGCCCCTGCCTGCATGGATGCTCAGCAGGGGTGAAGGTTCGGCTCACACATACTCACACATACCCCACTGTGTAAGCTGTCCATGGACCAGCTGCCCCCCAGATCTGACTGAAAACCAGCAGTGACGGAGCTTTGTCAGCTCTCAGGTCGCTTTGTATTTATGTAGCACCAAATCACCACAGTCACCTCACTGCACCTTATACTGTAAGGCAGGGCTGCCCAATCCCAGTCCTCGAGAGCTACTATCCTGCAGCTTTTAGATGCATCCCTACTCCAACACAGCTGAATCAAATGGTTTGATTACCTCTTCAGCATGCCATCGTGTTTGGCAAAGGCCTGATAACAAGCCATTCATTTGATTCGGGTGTGTGGGAACAAGGATGCATCTAAAAGCTGCAGGACGGTAGCTCTCGGGGACCGGGATTGGGCACCCCTGCTGTAAGGTAATGACCCTACAATAAGATGAGCAAGCACTTTGGCGACAGTGGGAAGGAAAAACTCCCTTTTAACAGGAAGAAACCTCCAGCAGAACCAGGCTCAGGGAGGGGGCGGGCCATCTGCTGTGATTGGTTGGGGTGAGAGAAGGAAGACAGGATAAAGACATGCTGTGGAAGAGAGACAGAGATTAATAACAGATATGATTCAATGCAGAGAGGTCTGTTAATACATAGTGAGTGAAGAAGAAACACCCAGTGCATCATGGGAATCCCCCGGCAGCCTACGTCTATTGCAGCATAACTAAGGGAGGATTCAGGGTCACCTGGTCCAGCCCTAACTATATGCTTTAGCAAAAAGGAAAGTTTTAAGCCTAATCTTGAAAGTAGAGATAGTGTCTGTCTCCTGAATCCAAACTGGAAGCTGGTTCCACAGAAGAGGGGCCTGAAAACTGAAGGCTCTGCCTCCCATTCTACTTTTAAATACTCTAGGAACAACAAGTAGGCCTGCAGAGCGAGAGCGAAGTGCTCTAATAGGGTGATATGGTACTACAAGGTCATTAAGATAAGATGGGGCCTGATTATTTAAGACCTTGTATGTGAGCAGCAGGATTTTGCTGACTGCAGCCAGAAGGTGGCAGTAATGTGAAGGATGTATGCAAACACAAACACTGCTGTAATAAATGTCGAAACTACTACATTGCAGTATTAAATACTATTAAATATGTGCAATGGGATGTAAAAATGTAAACAAGTAAACTGATCACAGCAGAATATGAACTATTGTGTAAAATAAACTGTAAAAAGAGTGAGTCTTTATATTGTTTTAGTGTCCACTGAGGGCTTCAGATTCTGTGTATGACTGTACACAGGACAGTGACGCTGACTTTGAGTCCAGGGTGAGGAGATGCTCTGCATGTATTACAGAACCAGTGGTGCCTGACTGGCTCCACCACGTCTCCATGAGAGCTGGAACTGGTTTATAACTGTGCCCTTGTTTGCAGGTGACGGGTCACGAGTATAGCACAGTATGGTGTTTCCTATAAATCGAGGCACCTTATGTTCCCATCACTCTGAATTTCTTCTAAGAACGTTCCTCATCGTTAGCGTCACACTGTGTGTCAGACTTCACTGGTATATTTCCCTCTTTGTTTGCTGTTGGCATCGGTCCTGGTTTTGGTTGAACACCCAGAATGCACTGCAGTTCTATGCAGAGCCCATAAAACTGTGTATCCACTTACTTTTTTAGCGTCTACAAATACAACACAACGTGTCAGACTTCCTAAAGAGTTGCAGTGCTGAACCGTGAGTCATGTGTAGAGGCTGAAATAAATGAATGTGATGTACGGGGGCTCTGTGGAGGTCAGCTGGTTCAGTGTCATTGGTTTGGTCCTTGTAACAGCTCCCTGACAGCACCATCACGTATTGCATGGATATTAAGATGCTGCGTTTTATGGGCTGGTATTCCTGCAGCTGCGAGGATCAGTGTCCACCTCAAGGTTCAGTGCTTCTCACTTTCTCTGGCACTGAATAAAATGCTCACTGACTCACGAGTTTAGTTCCACAATGATTGACATACAAAAACAAATATTTCCAGGCACTTAGTGGTCTACACCTGTGCTCTCATGTGAGCAATGCTGCCCAGATTACCTGTGTTAATGTTGTCTTAACATGGACTCACTGTTGCGGCACTAAAGCCACGCCCTCACACCTATTCTCAGCTTCAGTGTGAGTCACTCAGTTATGGATGCTGTCACTAGTTAGCTAACATAGACGACAGTGTGTTAGCCACCCGGGCTGCTGCCGCACTGACAGAAGATGAAGGTGTTCAGCTTCACAGTTACATCAGAGAGCCTCACACATCTGCGTCCAGCCCACTAAAGAGCTGCTGATTCTTACAGGTCTACTGTATCCCATTTGACCTTTGACCTCTCCTTCAAGCTCAGCAGATTGATTTGAAGGCCAAAATGACAGCACTGCCATACAGCGTTACTTCAAGCCGTGCTGCTTGCTGCTGCGCTGTGTAGAGATGGGGGTTGTATCTGACGTTTCTTATCATTCTGTATGTCCATTATAGCAAAAGCTTCTAAAATGTAAATGTTTTCCTTTGCCTGCCCTACAAACTGTCAAAGTAGAATAAAGCCAGCACATGCACGCGCCTAGTTTTTGCTTGAACCCTGTCACAAAAATCAAACCTCTCTCATCTTTTGCACTTTGAATTCTCCCTCTTTTCTTTGTCCTCCAGCTCCACCACCTGCCCATCAGCTCCATGTGCACACATCTGCACACCCGGATGCTCGCTAGCAGACCCGAGAGAGCGCAGACAAGGAGGGAGGAGGTGCGGAGACCACAACGGAGAGGGAGCGAGCCGGAGGAGAGCCCTGCACTGCATTAACGAGAAAGAGCACAGAGGAGGAGGTGGATAGTTTTCTGATGCCGAGCTGACGGTGCCCGGTGGTGAAGCGGAAAGTGGAGCGGCTGACAATCGCAGGTAAGCGGACCGTTTGTACTTTCCACCGTGATGGAGGCTCTATGATGGGCATAGTCGTGGCTCCCATAGCGCTGACGCATCGGGTGGTGTCCTGGTTCCGGCCGCACTGGATCCCGAGGAGAACCGATGATGTGAAAAATGCTGCAGCCTGAGCCACGTCCCAGGGGCTCGGAGCGCAGTTTACACGTAATTTGCATCGTTTACCGGCCACTCGGTGCGCCAGATACCCCCCCCCCTCCCCCACCGCGCTTCTCTCTGCGCATTTTCTGGATGATGCTGCGGTTTTGTGGGATTTCTGCTGCTCTGCGCAAATTGCAAATAAAGATAGTCTGCGGAGCTGAGCGTCCCAGCCTGGCTGTGTGCATCTGCAGAGGCCTTTGTGTGATGTGGGAGAGGAGGTGTCATTGCAGAGGACGACCGAACGAGGACATTTAAAGGGCTTCAACTTAGGCCCCGGGTCTGCAGCCTGTGCGCACAGCGAGGCAGGTATGGCCGTGAGCGCCGGAACTGCATCACATCGGAAAGCCGATTTAGAGGAGTTTGTGTGGTGTTCGCCAACAGCAGCTATCAAACAGCACTTTGTCATGTTCGTCCACTCAGAAGAAACTTAGCTGTGTGTTATAGAGCATTGGTAAGCCTGTCCCAGCTGTGTGAGGAGTCATCAGCGGTGCTGACCAGTGTCTGTGTCCTAACAGTGTTAACAGAGCACGCACTGCCTCAGGCTGGCAGCTAACAGTGTGTCAATGATCACGATTGATTATTATGTCTCATATGACGTAACTAGCTGTGGTGGATGCTGATCAGCCCAGTGCTTTGTGTATAAACCTTCTGTATTGAGGTTACAGCACTGAGGACATGCAGCAGCAGGTTCATGTGGACGCTAAAGAACAACAGTGATTGGACAGCTTTGTTCTTCTCTAATGTGTGATCTTTGGAGCCTTGTTCTACGTTTCTGTGACCTGCATACATGCAGCATGTCTTCCTGTTGTGTGCCTGTCATATTCCTGCTGTTCCTATACTGGATAGCGGCTGTGATCTGTGTGTTTTGCAGCCACAGAGTAGCTGTATGGATGTATTGACTTGTAATGAGAGCCTAATGCACCTACCCTGTGTTTGTGTAGTTTCCAGCCCAGTAATAAATGATGTATAAGTCCTCTAATACATTCAAAAGAGTCAGAGTTAATCTGCTTGTAGTTCCTTTTTCCCACTAGAGGGCATCTGAGGCACAGACTGTCCCATGGTCAACGCATAAGCACATAATCAGGTTTCAGGATTAACATTAATGAGCTTTAACAACAGCAAACCTTTGTCTTTATGAAAGCTTCACATTTTAAGGACAAGAACCAAATTCTGCTGAGTTTCCACACCTCATGTAGCCACAGGGGGCCACAGCCAGTGGACCCGGCACTCCCAGGTCACATGGATGAAGAAGGCCACCTGACCGAACACCTCTGTCGAATCAAACATCATAAAGAATAAGATGTACATGAAGGATGAGCCCAGGCGCCTACGGTGCGCTTCACTGCTGTCAGGCAAAGATAGAGGAGAGCAGGGAGCATGTGAGCATGCAGGGCAGGAGTGTGCAGCTGACAGTACTGATTGTAATAATTATAGTGTTCAGATCAGTGTGTGTTCACTTACATGAGCCTGTATAGATGTTACATTCTCTGTACTGCTGTCAGCACACACAGAGCTTTCACAGGAAGTGAGGCGCCTGTGCTTGTAGAAGTCATTTCAGAGTTGATGTGAGCTGTCGACACTGAAGTTTGATCTAATAATTGTCTCTGGAGTCGACAGCTTCACACAGCAGAGGAAAGGCTGATAAAATAAGATCAGAGAGATTCAAACGCCATGTCCTCTCAGCTCACAGGCTTTGATCTGACCTCAGGCTGGCCCAGCTTCAGTCCTCATTATTGCCCCAGCACAGAGTTCCCCTCTGTCCACACTGTGGATCGACGTCTACCACAGCATGTCGGGGCGGTCAGCTTCGTTTGGTGCTTTCCTGCTGGGTGGGGTTCTGCACACTCAGGACACAGACGTGTTCCTTTACTGAGTGAATCGATGCGCTGCTATCAGTAGGCTGACGAACTTTCTCACGAACACTACAATCACATACAAGACCCTCTAACCGCCTGAGAGCACACCCTTGGGTTAAAGAGATGCTTCACTGTGGTTTGCCATGTCCAAACACACTCAGCTGCTCTGTCTGTCTAAGAGCTCGGCTGCAGAGTCCCAAACACGCCCACAGCTCACACTTTAACTCTTTAACGTGTTCTTTTCTGAAAACATGTTTGCTTTTGTACTTAGGATGGGGGAACGTCAGGAACAATGCCCATCTGGCCAGCTGCTCAATGTATATTTGATCATTGAAGTTGCTTCCTGACATTGGCCAACGATCCCAGGCCTATAATGGCTCTGACCAGTTCACCCAGCACAGCTTCACACTGTAGTAGCCCTAAAAATGAAATAAAACTAGAAAAAGTTGCATTTCCTGCGAAAATGCCGTGTGAATGCCGTGCAGTGGAATCTGAAGGAGAACTGCCTGCTGAAAACACTCAACTCTTGGCTGAAAACTGTTGTATTCGAAAGGGTACACTAAGCAGCGTTAAGGAAGCAGATTACATGTATTAAATTCGGTTGACAAGTTGCCCTGGCAACACACGCAAGCAGGGAAGATGTCCAGCAATTGTCACATGTAGGATTCGAACCTTTTGCCACCGAATCTCACGGCGGCTGCTCATCCCACTGAGCCAAACCAGTTCTGATCTCAAACAAAGATATGATGAGAGAAAAATGTGCACTGTGCAGAAGAAACTCAATTGTGCTAAAAAGAGGTGAAAAAGCTGAAAATTGTGTTGAAAAGAGTGAAAACAGTTGAACTGTTTACACTCTGGAAATGTTGCCATAAGCGGGATTCGAACCGGCCCTCATCTCACTGAGCTAAAACACGGCTCAGCCCAGCAAGCAAAACTGGTAATGTGGTCCCTGTCAGCAAAATGGGCCAAAAATGGCATAAAAAGCTTAGTATCTCAAAAAGTATAAAAGTTATGAGCACCAAAAGATATAGTAGGCATCAGCAGAAGGAGCAGAACAGTTTAAAGTTTGAATGGTGAAAATCGGATGAAAACTGAGGGAGGAGTTAACCAGCAAAGGTCGGAGCAGCTAGAATAATAAGGTAGAAGAAAGAATAAAGAGGCCACGGCATTCACACAATAACATGAAACAGAATGACCGGTTTCATTCACTTCAGTTGACTGTGTATACCAACAGCTCACTATAACAGCTGACTTACAGCACTTCATAGGGTGAAGACCCTACAGCAGGGGTGTCCAACCCCAGGCCTGGAGGGCCGGTGTCCTGCAGGTTTTAGATGTGTCCCTGATCCAACACAGCTGATCTAAATGACCTCCTCAACATATCCTGAAGTTCTCCAGAGGCCTGGTGATGAACTAATCATGTGATTCAGGTGTGCTGACCCAGGGTGAGATCTCAAACCTGCAGGACTGGCTCATAGCTGGTTGGACACCCCTGCCCCACAACATTAAAACTCCATCAGTCACTAATGATGCAGCAGTGATATAACAACACAAAGAGCAGCCTGATAATAATGATTTACAGTAACCCAGTCGAGTAATGAACGGACTCGCTTTTCAGCATAAATATTGCACATGTGCTTAATGTGCACGTTGAAGGAAGTATGCTGGTGTTACTGGAAGACAAGGTCTTAGATGCTCTGTGTTTAATCAGTCGTAAGAACTGAAGTTCTTCTCCTGTTTGTGACACTCTGGTTATCAGCATGACAGCGTTTCATACTCTGAACACAGACAAAGGGGTAATAATATATATGATCCTGTAGGAGAAACCTGGCTGTGGTTACGTGATGCTGCAGTTCATGTGTTTAGTCAGCAGATGGCAGTGATATACAGTAAATGTGTCCTTATGATCGTACAGATACATAGATGTATTATAGAAGCTGTTTCACTGTAACAGATCAGATGTAGTGGCAGGAAACGAACCGATCCTTTTGTGAGCTTTAGTGATAAAAGCCGAGGTAACTCTAGAACATGTAGCAGCAGACTGTGTGGCTGTGGTCTGCTCTGTTGGCTGCACTCCAGTATAAAGGGAGCAGCCAGTGCAGATGGGGCGCAGCCAGGCCAAGTGGATTGTGGGTAAGATGGTGCCCAGTGATTAAGGAAGCCCGCTGGCATCAGTATGATCACCTGGCACGGGGTATCTGTTGTTCAGGTGTAGACATGCTCACCTGGCATGGGATTTAGTATGAATGCTGACTGTAATATTTGAGCTGGCATATAATGCTTTCTGGACTCCAAGCCACTGCCACACATAATGCAGTTATGTCTTGATGCATGCTCAATCATCCAGGTAAGTCAATCCCAAAAGTTCATTCTGTTCATCTGGATGTTTTCAGCAGGAGAAACATTTCTTGACCACTGATCAATGACCATGAGTACCATTCAACAACCGGCTGTGAGGTCAGGAGGAACGCTGGTTTGAGGGCGGAGTCAAGGAGGCCATTCACGTGAAAAGGTAAAGACCATCTCTGAATCGAGGAGGGGCCTAAGGGTACATCTGTCACCATCTTACATGCTGTGATTGCAGCCATTCCCCAACTCTCTGTGAATGGGACTCATGGTTACTGATCAGTGGTTGTTGGTGATCAATAGTCATGAGAATTTGCATAATAATGATGAAGGAACTGACCTCACAGCCCATTGTTCCCTCAGTGGGCTGGTTTCAGTCATTATGCACATGTCCTGTTTGTAAGATTGAAACCTGCTGAGACTGAAGACGTCAGCTGATGATGACGAAATGTTTCTCCCACTGAAAACGTCCAGATGATCAGAACCAGCGTTTGGAGATAGTGCAGTTCTATAGTGAGACATTAGTGCATACTTTGATTCCTTTCTTTTGTCCTATGCTTACAAATTGACGTCTCCTCTGTGCCTGTTGATCCAAGCGTTGATGCTTCAGTCAGGCCT